TTGGTCCATGAAACCGCCTTCTCTCCTTAGTCATCTTCGGAGGTGATAAACACGGTCGTATAAATACAGTGAGTGAGCGATCTCGTGAAATGTTGGCTGAAATTCTGAAATGCGTTTTCGATGATGAAGGAGTACTTAAGTGCGATTGTAGTACTAATTGTTTTGCGGCATAATCCTATGACATAACGAACTTGGCAGGATGTCAACCTTTGAATAGACTGCTTTTCAAACGCCTGTATAGACCGTGCCCGGTAAAAAATGGCTACTTAAGTAGCATGCATTTTTCCAATCGATTTTCGATGGTCTTGCAAATTCAAATATATTTTGAATGGGCCACGAACAAAAATATGCTTTCTTTCGGTCATTTGATAGAGAATCACGTCAACTTCATGTTTCATACTCAAAGGAGGAGTATAATTAGGTTTTAAAATGTTTCTCTCTATGAGATATTTTAAGAACGCCCAATGCCTATTCATATAACATCTTACCTATCCCTTTACCACTGCTCTTCCTTAAATGTAAAACATAGTCCGCATCCATTGCAAACATTTGTGAACACTATATCATATCTTTATAAAAGCGTAGAAAAATATGCGATTTTCGTTACGCGGAACGCATGCACCTTGTAAACTAAAGCCACTAAGCGCTAATGCAGCGACTGATCAGTCTTCAAATTATTCATCAATCAGAAAAAATTTTCAAACCCCAATTATACTTCTTTTTCGAATATGAAATATAAAAACGACGTGATGCTCTATCAAATGACCGAAAGAAAGCATACTTTTGCTCGTGGTCTATCTAAAAATATTTGAATTTGAAAGACCATCGACAATCAAATGGAAAAGTTAATGCTACTTAAGTAGTCATTTTTTTACCAAGTATGGTTTCTAAAGGAGATCAATAGGCAGTGAACTCAAAAGCTGATATCTTGTCAAGTCCGAAATATAGCAGGATTATAACACAAGATAATCAGTATTAAAATTGCATCTAAGTAATACTTCTTAATCGAAAACGCATTGCAGAATATCGGGCAGATCGGTCACTCAATGTATGTATATACAGTGCATGTAACCATACCGATATATATATATATATATATATATATTATGACAGTGGGCGCACGCCGATCAGGTGACGGAACATGCTCGTCCGTTTGTGCCTTGGGGCTCATACTTTAACCCTCGCAGGCAGTCGCACAGCGACTAATAGTAGACATAGATGAGATGGAGCCGACAAAGACAAGGGAGACCGGAATGGCCATTTCTGGCCATTTCTGGGTTCGAATCTCAAGTGATCCACACTTGGGGTTGGGTATGACTGGCTGATGACGGCTAATAAGCCGGAAATGGCCATTCCGGTCTCCCTTGTCTTTTTCGGCTCCATCTCATCTATATATATATATATATATATATATATATTATGATAGTGGGCGCTCACCGATCAGGTTACGGAACATGCTCGTTCCGTTGTGCCTTGGGGCTCATACTTAAACCCTCGCAGGCAGTCGCACAGCGACTAGTGATATATGTTGGAAAGGTAATACCGACAAAGACAAGGGAGACCGGAATGGCCATTTCTGGCTTATTAGCCGTCATCAGCCAATCATACCCAACCCCAAGTGTGGATCACTTGAGATTCGAACCCGGGATCTTTGGTCATGGAGTTGAACGCTCTACCATTGAGCCACGGGCCCGTTGTCCTGTCGGTTGTGATCGGGAATATTAATTATGATAGTGGGCGCTCACCGATCAGGTTACGGAACATGCTTGTTCCGTTGTGCCTTGGGGCTCATACTTAAACCCTCGCAGGCAGTCGCACAGCGACTAGTGATATATGTTGGAAAGGTAATACCGACAAAGGTTGCAGAACATGCTCGTTCTACTACTAGTCGCTGTGCGACTGCCTGCGAGGGTTTAAGTATGAGCCCCAAGGCACAACGGAACGAGCATGTTCTGCAACCTGATCGGTGAGCGCCCACTATCATAATTAATATTCCCGATCACAACCGACAGGACACCGGGCCAGTGGCTCAATGGCAGAGCGTTCAACTCCATGACCAAAGATCCCGGGTTCGAATCTCAAGTGATCCACACTTGGGGTTGGGTAGGACTGGCTGATGACGGCTAATAAGCCAGAAATGGCCATTCCAGTCTCCCTTGTCTTTGTCGGTACCATCTCATATATATATAGGCAGAATGGTATTGCCGACAAAGAAAAGGGAGACTGGAATGGCCATTTCTGGATTATTAGCCGTCGTCAGCCAGCCATACCCAAGCCCGATGTGTGGAACACCCGAGCCTCGAACTCGCGACCTGTTGGTTTAGAAGTCAACGCCTCTACTCACCGGGCCACGAGCCCGTTGCCTTGTCGGTTTTCGATCGGGAATATACAATGTTAGGGGGCGCTCACCGATCGTTCATACGGAACTCACTCGTTCCGTTGTGCCTTATGGACTCTCTCTCTCTCGAGCCCAACCAGCAGCCGCACAGCGGCGCATGATATATAAGCAGAATGGTATTGCCGACAAAGACAAGGGAGACTGGAATGGCCATTTCTGGCTTATTAGCCGTCGTCAGCCAGCCATACCCAAGCCCGAAGTGTGGAACACCCGAGCCTCGAACTCGCGACCTGTTGGTTTAGAAGTCAACGCCTCTACTCACCGGGCCACGAGCACGTTGCCTTGTCGGTTTTCGATCGGGAATATACAATGCCTATATATAATGCGCCGCTGTGCGGCTGCTGGTTGGGCTCGAGAGAGAGAGTCCATAAGGCACAACGGAACGAGTGAGTTCCGTATGAACGATCGGTGAGCGCCCCCTAACATTATATATATATATATATATATATGTTCTGGAAGATGGGCATCCCAAGAAACATAATTCGAAGAAGAATGAGTCCTTTATGAAAATGAACAAACTTTATTTCGTAAATTTTCGAGACTGGTTCCCCAGCTCGTCTTCAGACGTGTAGTAAGTGTGAACACCAATTGGCAGTGAAGAGGCGGGACCACTTATCCCAAGTCGCCATGCATACTCTTGAAACTGGGCACAAATTCGCTTGGGATAAAACACGCATTGTCGGTTCCTGCCCATATAAGAAAGGCCGAGAATTCCTAGAGGCCATTCACTCTGATGATTAGAAAGGCCGAGAATTCCTAGAGGCCATTCACTCTGATGATTCATGCATCAATCGACGCATCGACCTTGCTACAATGTACACAAGTCTCAAAGAAAAATGGAAAAGGTAATAGCCAATCAAGACGTGACATCAGCCTACAGCATCAACCCATCCAAAGTCATGACAGAGCAATATCGATTTTTTCGGCATTGTTTAAATTTTGACTGTTTCTTCACACTTACTACACGTCTGAAGACGAGCTGGGGAACCAGTCTCGAAAATTTACGAAATAAAGTTTGTTCATTTTCCCAAAGGACTCATTCTTCTTCGAATATATATATATATATCGCGATCATCATCCCCCGAAGAAGACGAAGAAGAAGATAGGGCGCATTCATGGACCGAGTTATATTTGTACTGACGTTTCGGAAGCCCTTTCGTTTCCATCATCAGAGTAATGTGTTGACAGTTCCTGCTGGTCTTGATTGCGTTAGCCTTGATACCTGCCTTGTATTATATCCGTGCGCGATGCACGAACTCTGACCTGCCCGTTCGCCGCCGATTAGCGTTGACTTCTCCACGATTGACCGCCGGTGGACTCCTGCCACTAATGACCCCTTTGTCTGGAAAATTTGAGAAAATAAGTCCGCCAAAGCAGCCCTCCACTGACGGCGTCTTGGTTCACAACTTGTCCTCCCATCGTTTAACTCAGCAACAACTAGCCATTCTATCCTATGACGCAAAGTTCAGCACAAGAGATGCTCGACCAAAAGCTTCATTGCATCCTTCGAATCGGCGTTCCAGAAGTGTGAGGCAGGCGAGGAGTGCAAAAGCGTCATGCGACAACAAGTGTCGACTTTACTCCTCCAACATAAACGCCAGACGACGATTTCTAAGGCAGAAGATCGAGAACTTCTGAAAATACGAAAACTAGAGGATATCGTCACCCTGCCCGCCGACAAGGGGCGCTCTACTGTCGTCTTGGATAAGGCTGAGTACTGCAAAAAACTGGACAATCTCTTGATAGAAAAGAAAGCTTATGCACCATAGACAGTCAGCGAGTTCAAAAAGCTCGTAAACAGCATAAACAAGACGATCGGCAAGCTGAAGAAGGCGGGCGCTCTTACTAGAAGGGAAGCTCTGGCCGGAAAAAACCAGTGATGCCGCAATGGCGCGCTTTTACGGCCTACCAAAGATTCACAAGCCGGGCGTGCCGCTACGCCCCATCGTCTCCTTACGTGGTACCCCATCCTTTGGGCTGTCAAAGTGGCTGTACCAGCGACTTTGTTTCCTTACCAAGGATTCAGAGTGGACAGTGAAGTCGGCTGAAGAGTTTTTGTCGCGCATCAAGCGTCCCCAAGTGAAGGCAGATGAGGTGTTGGTGTCTTTTGACGTGATCTCATTGTTCACCTCCATCCCACCCACGCTGGCTATTGACACTATTGACGGCTTTCTCCGGGAAAGGTACGATGAGACCGATCAACAGCTCAAACGAGTTCACATCATCCAGCTCCTAGAACTATGTCTTAAGACGTTCTTTACATTGAACGGCCAGGTCTACGAGCAAAAGAAGGGGACACCGATGGGGTCGCCTCTATCTGGATTAATTACTGAAGCGGTTTTGCAGAGGCTTAAGCGGCTGGTATTCAGCTCGTACCCCCCAAAATTCTGGGCCAGATACGTCGACGACACTTTCGTTATCATCAAAAGGAGCGATGTGCAAACTTTCAAGGCACTGTTGAATTCAATCTTTCCCGACATCCAGTTAAATATGGAAGAAGAGCTAAACAATCAGCTGGCCTTCTTTGACGTATAAATGAGAAAGCTGGAGGACGGGAAGACAACAACAACGATCTACCGGAAGGCAACTAACACCAGGCGAATCCTCCACTTCAAGAGCAACCACCCCGTTGGTCACAAACGTAGTTGTGTCAGGACCCTCTTCCAACGCGTTCAAACACACTGCAGCGACGAAAATGGGAGGAAGGATGAGATTAAGTACTTGCACGCCCTATTTGAAACCAACGGTTATCCCAAGTCCTTCATAAGCAAGTGTCTTAAAAAGCCCCACCCTGAGCGGTCAGACGGAGAAAACCCGAAATTTTGGCTCGCAAACCCTTATGTGAAAAACGTGTCAGAGGCGACGGCAAGAATCCTGAAGCCTTTCGGGATCGGAGTGGCTCACAAGCCAGAGTCAACAATCACACAGCAAATAATGAGGCCCAATGACCGGTGACAGAACAATCATCGGTGGTCTACAGCATGCCGTGCCAAAACTGTGATGCAAGGTATGTTGGTGAAACGGGCAAACGTCTTGGCACAAGATTGCATGAGCACCAGCTTGCAATCAACCGCAAGGACAAGCTGTCTATGGTTTATGGCTACGTCAAACAGCAGAACCACAATTTCGCCTTTGAAAAGGCAAGGGTAATCGGCCGAGCCAATGATAAGATGGCCAGACTGATGCTCGAAAGTTGGTCCTCGACTGGCACACTCAACAGAGCCATAGATCTGCATCCCGCCTATCAGGCGCTACGCACAAGGCTCTAGTCAGTGCGGACAAGGCCATCAGGACAGTCGAGCAAAGTGACGCGTGGCCGACAGCCGATGTCAGCAGAAAGTAGGAGAGAAGCCGGCCGGGGGTCATGTGACCAGCATGGGCGCCACCTCACCACGACGCCCACGAGGCTGAGATCAACTCACATGAGCCCCGACAACTGATCAGTCCGTTGAGTGACGAGGGTGAAGCCGACAAACATGCTGGCTCGCCAACAATTACGACGGCCGAAAAGAGGTCCTTAGTGGCAGGAGCCCACCGGCGGTCAATCGTGGAGAAGTCAACGCTAATCGGCGGCGAACGGGCAGGTCAGAGTTCGTGCATCGCGCACGGATATAATACCAGGCAGGTATCAAGGCTAACGCAATCAAGACCTGCAGGAACTGTCAACACATTACTCTGATGATGGAAACGAAAGGGCTTCCGAAACGTCAGTACAAATATAACTCGGTCCATGAATGCGCCCTATCTTCTTCTTCGTCTTCTTCGGGGGATGATGAACGCGATACAATATCTGGACCTCGAATCTTTACCCATATCGATATATATATATATATATCAAGCAAAAATCTGAGAGGGTATTCAGCGCAGGACGTGGAGATAAGTCTCTGAGACCTCACTTTTTAGGATCTGACCCGAAATTCCAATGAATATAAAAGTCGAAGACAATCAGCTACTGTGGAATAACCACGTCATGACCGGGTGATCAGCTGCGCAAGATCTGTGTGCGCATGCTTGCGTTTCCGGCACCAGATTGTAGTTACGGTTATGCGTGGCTCATGGGAGGCGAGCGAGCCTACCGGCAAGACTCTGTCACTAGCCCTGTGATCCATGTATACACAGGCAATTCGTTATTAGGTATCACAAATGTGACTGGACCGGTCACTTCCAGCTAAATAACTGGTTCCGCAGTTTTATCGAAAATCTAATTGCTACGCCTATGGGTTTGAACCGATGTGTTTTTCGTTTATCGAACGTTAAATAGTATAAGGCTCTATAATTGAGTCACAGCTCCCCGCTGACTGTGCGGTGTGGAGATATAAACCAAATATAGTAGATTACGCTGACCGATCAGGTTCCTGGTTATTTTCATCGCCTTATCCATTTGCCTAGAGATCAAATCCAAATTCCTTGCGAATAATAGATTAGCGGCTAGCAGTGCATTTACATGGCGTACAAAAATGCAATATTGATTTAACATGCAAGACAATATGACAAAAATGGCAACGTCTAGCTTGTTAGTTGTCTTTGTCTAACCATATAAATCTGTCAGCTGATTTAAGTGCATTTTAATGCATACTGGACTTGCACACGAACACACTATTTGCAATCAGTAAGTAGTGGTTCATGTTTGCGCACATTCGAGATTGAATCCGAAACTGCCACGCGAATACATCAGTTATTCCAGTGACCGTACCTCCTTCTTTCAGGACTTCTGACAGGTTGTACTGTTAAGAGCACAGAAGTCAGTTCAAAAAAAACTTTGAATGTGCATGATAATCTGTTTTTCGAAGATTTATGCATTCGGCAAAGGATTTTAATTGCCTATATTCAATTGTCACAAAATTTATTCGATTCGAGGGCCATGCACTGTCCAAATTGTCTAAAAAATACAGGGCATGGAAGGCGGAAACAAATCGCTTTCAGAATATTTGTAGCTACGCGGCAAATCCTCGGAAATATCTAGCCCAACTAACCTAAAATTAGACGCATATTAATGAGGAAATGAAGCAACATCAGAAATCAGATTATATCACCGTGAACCAATGATGGTTCTACGAAATGTGCGAATTTCCAAATCCGCAAATCCATTGGAATGAAACTAACTATTCCTTTAGCATTGCCAAATCTTCAAAAAATTGCGCTCACAGTCAGCCATGTGAATCTTCTAGACCGCGTCAATGAACTGACAAAATTCGTCACTTGTGCCAGCAAGTCGTGCATAATACTTTTTTTTTTCCTAGGTGATTGGACGTTTTCGCTTACTCGTCCATTCTTGCCGCACTCCTGTCCACTGGGGTCGGACTGTACTAAAGGCTCTCGACTGTCAGGGGTAGAGAGCTGCAGCTAGTTCGTCACATTAATATAAAATGGCAAATGACAGGCACTACTGTTAGCCAATCATTGTCGTTCTGGCGAGATCGACAACGGTAAACCATCGTTAGGAATTCGACTGATTCCACTTGTGAGAGCACGGACAGAGATTTCACCATTGAAAGCTAAATTGATAAGAAGTATTGCGATTTTATTTTTCACATCCAGTCATGACGCGGTTATGGAAGTCATCATTACTGAAGTTTCTTTCAGATAGTACAAGGGGGCCAAGCATGCGAGTTAGCGTTCATGTGAATAGAAGATATCATAACGATGCTTTCATGGGTCCTTGATAAGGAAGCTGGTGTATCATGAAGAAGAGTGTGCCGTAAGACAGGATCAGTTAAGAATGAGCCTGCTTGCGTGCCATTTTTTGCGGCTAAATTTCGTAGAGCATGAGCAGTAGCTATTATTCCGAGGGCAAATGGGCGTCGCCGTTTCCTCGTCCACGAGCAAAAATCCGTCTGATTGCCTATCTGGATACACCCTTGTCACACTGAGAACACTCCATTTTCTGCATGACGTACGCATTCCACTGATGGTACAACAAACTATTCGAGGAATATATTAACGACGTCCAGAGTGCTTTCATTAGATTCCCTTTAATTTATGTTGCCCCAAATCATGGGTATTCTGTAACATTATCAGATCGGTTGCGCAGATCCTAATGTACTATTACATACTTCTGTGCTCGCAAAATTCAAAAAGTAAACATATCTTCCTCTCTATAAAACATGTAGGTATGCTGCATTCAGAAAACCTCGCACGAACTCTACACATACGGAGTGACGTACGTTTAAATGGTAGATAACGCAAAAACAGGAAGTAGGAGTGTCATGAAAACCGTACAAAGCCCGCAAGTATGCAAAGAATTCACAATTATAAGTGATATCCCAAAGAAAATAGCATGCGTGGAAATTGCCATTTTGGAAACCTTGATCAAAATATGCCTTTTTGAAGAAGTGGACAGATAAATAGGTGCCTGCCAGATCATCTATGAAGTTTGCTATTATTTTGGAAAATGAGACGACAGTCATGCTGCGGGGCTTGACATTTGTGACGTGCTTCTTCTTTTACGTAGAAGGGCAGATGCCAAGTAACCTTAGGATTTCGGCTCTGAATTCCACGGCCATCCGAGTGACCTGGAAGAAACCAAGTCCTCCAAGTAAATTCGGAGACCAGTATCTGCTTTCAATCTACAATGAAACCTATGAGAGGAGCTACCAGGGTAGGAGGACGGAGGAGACCATAACCGGTCTGACGCCTTCCAGCATCTACAATCTCACTGTGCAGGCCTTCTTCACAAATGGCACACTTGTCCCTGCGACCGCCTTCACTTCCGTACAGATCCTGACACGTGGTAATTGGCAATTGCTTTTACTGCCTCATGCCTGCAAATCATTTCGTGCATCCACCTTCTAGGCAGATTACTCTCACCGCGATGGCAATGACACTTCACTCCACCTCGCGCTAGCCCATTGCATAAGTACATTGCAACCGAGAGGACAGCGGATATATGGCTCAGTGGTTAGAGCCCTGGGCTTCAAACCAAGAGGTCGCGGTAGCGATCCCCGAGTGCTCCACACCTGGGAGTTAGGGTATCCCTAGCTGACGTTAACTAGTAAGGCAGTTGTGATCACTGAAGTCTCCCATAATTTACTTGGTGATGCTAGTCTGTCCATATTAAGCAGGCTATGCAGCTGCCAGTGGGGCTAGAGAGAGGGTTGGAAGT